CTAGGATGCATTGCACCAACATGCATACGCACTGTCAAAACCCACACCGTGGTTTGATAGCACCATCAGAGAAATTAAGAGGACAGGCCATAAACTCAAGAGAAAGTGGTGCAGGACACATGATCCAGAGGATAAATCAGCTCTTACCAAACATCTAAATAAATATCAATTCAAGATAACCCCGAACAAATCTTCATTTTTATCACACAAAATTACACTCTCCCTCAATAGACCCTGGCAACTGTTTCGCACAGTACAAAGGCTCTGCAAACCAGCATGCATGCATATGCCCATCAACTTTTCTCAGGATAAGTGTGAAGCATTTGCGATCTTCTTAAGAGAAAATATTTCCTCAATCTGAACCTCTATCACAGCAGGCCAAACAGTTACACACCAGAACAACTACAATGGAATGCCAGATTGCCCCAGTTTATGGTCCACTTTTACAAATTTGGATATAAAGGGAGTTAAAAGAACCTTGCAAAAGTTACACCCTAAAATGTGTGACTTAGACCCTGCTCCAACTCAGCTTATATCTGCATGCATTGAAACACTTGCCCGAACCCTCACAAAAATAGTGCAGTGTTCACTAAAAACTGGAGACTTCCCAGATCCTCTAAAAGAAGCTGTGGTGAAACCACTCCTAAAGAATCCTTTATTAGACCCAGACTGCATGGCTACAACCCAGGCTTTGTAACATTCAATTAAATAACAGTGTGTGTGGATACACTGTCATACTGGTTACATTTGATACACACAGTTTACCTATAATAGTGGCATGGTTCGATAGGATTTCTTACTTCCCTTGTATCATAGCCACAAGTAGTGTGTTGGAGGTGATATACATATACCCCTTTTTTGGTGACAAACTTCCAGTTGACATTTGATGTTGCTACACTGTTATATTGGTTACACATTAGTTCAATGCAGTTTTTCCCATAATAGTGGTGTTGAATCATAGGGCTTTATATTGTCTTCTTTTATAGCCACAAGTGGTTCACTGCAACGGACATTTAAATCTTTTTAGGTTTTTCTAGTCCCGTTCCTATCATCCTCAGCCAGCATTCCATCCAGTCCCACATTAAGCCTCCCCCTTTAGATTTCAATATAGAGCCGTTATTTGATTATGGCTGTTCTTGATGGGTTTATGTCGTATGTCGTTTCTCCTTCCAATTAAATAAAGTTCATCATTTTTAATATTATATTAGCTCTATATTTCAAGGAACCTTTTGTGCCTATTGGATTTTTATCCTATGGACATTTTTGTATTTTCTCTAATTGTCTAATTTAAGGGTCATCCCCTCTTCAGGTTCACTTGCATAAACCAATAGTCCCTCTTTTGGGACACTCTATTGTCTCATAATTACAGACAAGTATCCAACCTTCCTTTTCTGGGGAAAATAATTGAAAAACTAGTGGCAATTCAACTGGAGGACAATCTATCAAGCTTGAACATCTTTGATCCTTTCCAGTCAGGTTTCAGATGCTATAAAAATATATACAATACACGTGGGATTCAGGTGATATACCTAAAAGGTAATAAATAAACAAAACATAGCGTAATACAGTTTGGTTAGAGAATTATATTCCCTGCTATAGATTGCACTCACGAGAAGTTGGAGTGAAATACGTTTTAAAGGTGCCTCGCCCAAAGTAAGTGGGGGGCCAGTGTCTGCTTCATAGGATCAAAGTATCACCCAGCATCAGAAACCACACAGGACTCTGATAGGTAGATAGAAATCAAGTACATTTATTGTATAAAACAGCAATAAAAATGGTCTTACGCGTTTCGTCCCGGTTATGGGACTTCTTTAGAGACCAAAATTGGTAAAAAGCAATAATGACAGTTATGCTCCCAAAAAAGCTTAATCTTACCTACCCGCTCCAGTGGGCGTCTTCTGTCCTTCCCTCTTCGTTGGTGGTGTCCATCTTCACTTCACCTGATCCCTGGTGAAGTATAACAAGCAGTGTTTGCACAGCTAATCTTGATTTTTATGGTAGGTGAAAAAACGGAAGTGATGAATATGATGCACTTCTGTGTGTTCCAGCATGTGTTCCAAAGATGGCCGTGCATTTCACCATGGTTCTAGGAGGGAGAAATGTCAGGCTCCCCCTGGTGTTCTCCAAAGGAATAAAATTCACTATGTTAATAGAAATATATTCAACAGCTATATTATAGTGGGAGGAGAGAACGATATGTGAGTGAAATCAGCTATTAAGACTCCTCAAGATTCAAATAAAACAAGACAGCACAATTTGAATAAGGATTTTAAAATGCAAAATATATATCTCATTAAAATACAAACTGTTTCATAATGTTTTTATAAGAAACACTATCCATAAACACCTTCAGGACCAGACTGTTTTGGCCATGTTGTATGTTAAGGACCAGAGCTGTTTTAACACGTTTGTGGTGTTTGTGTTTAGCTGTAATTTTCTAATTACAAAACTTGGCCAGTGTTTGTGACTATGTGGCTACTAAAAAAAGACTGAACATACCCCATTTGCAATACCTTGGGTTGTCTTCTTTTGCAAATGGTATGCCATCATGGGGGTAATTCTCATTCTTGGGCTACCATACACTCAACAAGGCAACATAACCAGCCTGGCAATTTTCTATGAAAATAATTTGACCCTTATATTTGACTCTGTAACTTTCAAAAACACTATCAAACCTTTACATGAGGAGGGGAGGGTGTACTGTTACAAATATTAGTGTTTCAAAACAGTAAAACATATCACAACAATTATATCATCAGTGAAAGTGCTGTTTGTGAGTGAAAAATGCAAAGTCACTTTCACTGACAATATCATCGCTGTGATATGTTTTACTGTTTTTAAACACTAATATTTGTGTTCAGCGAAGTCTCCAGAGTAAACAGTACCCCCATGTATAGGTTCTAGAATGTCATAGAAGGTTACAGGGTTAAATACAGTGCTAGCAAATTCAATGCTCTGGACTTTCAGCCTGGGTTGTCAGGCAGGTCCCTCAAATTGCAATCAATAAAATTACTTAATTATGTAAAAATATTACATAAATATTCATGTAGAATATATAGTTATTATATATATTATATATATGTGTGTAATTTAATTATAAGTGTGTTTTTATATTACTTTATGTATATATTAATATAAAAATACACTTCGTATGACATTCTATATATAAGATATATAGACATATATTATATAGATATGTAATTATATTTTTAAATGTATTAACAATTTTTATTTTACAGATGCAGGGAGACTGACTGTCAGTTCAGTCTGCAGGCAGATACACAGGCACCAATTGCGGCCATGTGACCGCTCTGTTAGAGGGATCACATTGTTGTGGGGGCCTAATTCACCGAGGTAGTACTGCCTGGGCAGTCAGGCAGCCCCCCTAGACAGGGAGCAACGCCAATCGCTAGCAGGGGAACGGCAGCGATCGGTAAGTAAATATTACCGTTATGGCAGCTCAGGACCGTTATCGGTACTCAAGGGAATTTTTCCGATGACAGTCCTGAACCATCAGCGGTCCTTAAGGAGTTAAAGAATACTTGTACAAGAAAAACAATGCCACACATACCCATTTTCTTATCAAAAAAACCTAGTAAATATTTTAATTTTCCTATTGATAACCTTAAATATTTAGGTCTTCATATTTGTAAGGTATACTTATACCTAATAAAGTTAATTGAAAGTATATATGTGTACTTCTGGCCTGGTTAAACCAGAAATCATTCTCATAATTTGGAGGGGAATATTCCCACAATATCACTATACAGGATGCGCAAAAGGAAATATTTACTAAATATTTACAAAAACTAGACTAGATCTATATCAGAAATAAACACAAGAAAAAACAATAAACACAAAAAAAGGGATACCCCAAAATAAGAAGAAAAATCTACAAGAAACAGACCAGGTCTATGTGGACATTCAGTCCCCAACGTTTCAATGTATGTTGTTTGTGGATCTAATAAGTGTCCCGCTGGCAAAGTTTTTTTAACACTATCTCTCCATCTCCAATTAGATAATACATTTAAGACCCTTAAGAGAAAAAGAGGGGCATGAATTACAATGTACAGGAACTGAATGCAACATAAAACTTTTTTTTATATTGTTTATATGTTCTAAAATACAGGTTTTCAAGGGCCTTTTGGTACAGCCAATATATTATTTGCCACACGAGCACTGCAGCAAATAAGCCACAAAGTTTTAATACATAAAGATTCCTCAGTAACTGAACTAGAAAAAGTATTAGTTCTTTCAAGATTAATTGTAAAGCAGGCCTTGCAACTATGGCACCCCCTAAATCCTTTTTGATGTTCCATCTCTCTTTTAATATCAGGTTTTAAAGCATATCTTGGGGCTAAAAGGTTTTTAAGATTGCGGTTCTTCCTATAAATTAAGGTAGGATGTTCGAGTAAAATTGACCAGTGTCTTTTTAGACCTCTTTTAATTCATTGGTGATCTACATTGTATTGTGTGTTAAATGCAAAGATCTCCTGATCTTTTAACCTTTGGCTTATCAATTAATAGCTAATTTCGTTCCATATTTTTTGTTATCCTAATTTCTTTTTCTAGGCTTTTTTTACTGTATCCTTTTTCCATAAGTTTGTTTTTAATGTGTGATGCCTGGGATTCAAAATCTTGAAAATGGGAACAATTGCTTCTTAGACGCATGAACTGGCCTTTGACTTTTCCCCTTAACCAAATCCGATGATGGCAGCTCTTATTATGGACATTTCCATTGCCATCTGTGGGTTTGAAAAAGCATTTTGTTTCAATATGGTCATCTTTACAAAAAAGTGTCACATCAAGAAAATTTATGGTGACTTTGTCCCAAACTGGTGTGAATTTCAAGTGGTATTGGTTATCATTAAGATATTCCACAAACCCTTGAAAACAAGAAAAAGACCCCTTAAAAATTATAAAAACATCATCAATATATCTCCACCAGAACACCAGGTTCTCTCCCCAGCCATGTCCAGACCACACAAAAAGATCTTCTCGAATGATCGCTCCCACAATCCCCCGCGCAGCTCCTCCCGGGTTCAGACAGGGTGTTCACATTTGCCTCATTCTGTTATATGTTGGCCCTTCTGCTCATCGCGGCCCTAATCTTCTGGCTCATTATTGTATTTGATTAATTGAAAACAGACTACAAGAACCCTATAGACCAATGTAACATGCTTAACCCTCTCATGCTCCCTGAATACCTAATTCATGCGTTTTTCTTGCATTATGTTTCTATGTGTGGCAGAATGGCTTACACTGACTTTAAACATGCCTCTACTGGCTTACCATACTTGGAGGTACATGAGCAGGCCCGTTATGAGTGGACCCTGCCTGTATGACCCCACAACGATCATGAATGCGGATATTTTAGCATTTTGTCAAAAAGAGGGATGGTGTAAGCTAGCGTTTTACCTGCTTTCCTTTTTTTACTACCTCTACGGTATGATCTATGCATTGGTGAGCTCTTAAGAAGCAACCTCTTAGGATTCTGGTTCCAGTTAATTGCATGCAAACATTTAGCACTATAGGCGTCTGGTCCAACACAAACCTATTCTCAAGGAAGATTTGGTTTTTGGATCACATTTACTCGAAATGAAAAAAATAAACACACTGCCTCCAAATTTTGTCGATATTCCCATTTTTTTCACCGATGGGAAGATTTTTTTTCATGTTTAACGAAGACTGAGAAATTGTGTGAAATATTTATCAAGTATTACAATGCTCTATGAGTCTAGCAAATCCAGTACTCGCTGCTTATCTATGTATCCTGTCTCTCCTTTTATATATTGGATTTTGTTTATTGAGCCCTCATGCAGCAATATTCATATTATTTGTCCAATTAGCCACAGTTCGGATATAGCTAGAAATGCCTTCAGCTGTCCAGTTGCTATATTATTATTATTATGATATTTATATAGCACCATCAAATTCCGCAGCGCTTTACAATGGGTGGACGAACAGACATGTAGTTGTAACCAGACAAGTTGGACACACAGGAAGAGAGGGGTTGAGGGCCCTGCTCAATGAGCTTACATGCTAGAGAGAGTCGGGTAAAATGACACAAAAAGGTAAGTATAGTATTAGACTAGTGACAGTTGCAGAAGAGGATATGTAAACATTTCTAATATAATTTAGAAATAAAAATCATGGAAACTATTGTCCTTTTGTGATTGTTAGCACTCTATACAATTTGTTGCCTATAAGTGAAAGATTTTATTGGAAAATAAATGATTTCCTTTTTTTTTTCTTTTCAATTTTGTTAAAAACAAAACAATACACAATGACTTTCATTTAAAAAAAAAAAAGATCTTCTCATGTAGGTATTGGCATAGCTGGGGGCGAACCTGGTGCCCATGGCTCTCCCAGAGACTTGCAAATAATAATTACCATTAAAGAAAAAATAATTGTGTTTTAGAATGAATTTAACAGAAGTTACAACAAAATCTTTAAGTTTCTGGGAAATATTAACATCCCTATTCATAAAGTGATTTACAGCTTCAAGTCCCAGTTCGTGCTCTATAACCGTGTACAATGACGTAACATCGAGTGTTGCCCAACTGTAATCTGGACTCTACTCGAGGTTTTCTATTTCCTGTATAAATGACTTTGTGTCCTTGATGTAAGATGGAGCTGTCTGTGCATATATTTGTAGATAGGAGTCCACAAATGATGATAAATTTGCTGTAATAGAGTCTATCCTGCTAATTATCAGGCGCCCTGGGGATTGTAATACATTTTTATGGGTTTTGGGTAAAAAGTAAAAAATGGGGATAGTCGGGTTCTTTTGAAACAAATAATAAACATTTTGTTGTGTGACGATGTTCTCCATGTTTGCCTGTTCTAATAACACTTTTAATTGAGAATTAAAGGCCCTTGTAGGATCTCCCTTAAGTACTTTGTAAGCTTTTATATCCCCTAGAATATTTGAAGACTTTTGTAAATAGTAATCGGTGGACATGATCACTATGCCCCCACCCCCCTTATCTGCCTCTTTAATAATTTTTTGCCTTAAGACAACACAAAAAGACAAGACCTAATAATTAAAGAAGCTAATAGGGAGGGGGGGGGGGCATAGTGGTCATGTCCACCAAATGCTATTTACTTACAAGAGTCTTCAAACATTCTAGAGGTGTTATAAAATCACTGAATGGCCTGGAGCTTGGAGGCTCTGAACTCATTAGTTCATCAAAAGTACGAAACTTCTGAGTGCTGATTGACTCTGGACTATCATTTAAACAGCAGATTTTCTCCGTAATAAAATCTGCCTACTTTCATCTGAAAAACATAGCCAGGATACAACACTTAACCCCTTAAGGACTGAGCCAAATGTACACGTTGTGAACAAAACAAAATGTAAACAAAACCTGGCATTTGCACTACATGTCTGTCCAACCGTAATTCACCTCTTTCATATTAAATGCACCCACCTTTATTATATATCATTTTATTCAGGGGAAACAGGGCTTTCATTTAATACCAAATATTTAGCTATGAAACATAATTAAATATGAAAAAATGGGAGAGAATAAGATTTTTTTTAAATTTCTTTAGTTCTACATGACATTTTAACTGTCAATGTCATAATACTGTTTGCTTTTACTATTCAGTATTCAGCAAAGTCTCACTTGTAAAACAGTACCCCCTATGTACAGGTTTTATGGCGTTTTGGGAAGCTACAGGGTCAAATATAGCACGTTACATTTGAAATTGAAATTCGCCAGATTGGTTACGTTGCCTTTGGGACTGTATAGTAGCCCAGGAATGAAATTTACACCCATAATGGCATACCATTTGCAATAGTAGACAACCCAAGGTATTGCAAATGGGGTATGTCCAGTCTTTTTAGTAGCCATTTGGCCAAAGTTAGCGTTAGTATTTGTTTGTGTGTGAAAAATGCAAAAAACGCCAATTTTGGCCAGTGTTTGTGACTAAGTGGCTACTAAAAAAGACTGGATATACCCCGTTTGCAATGCCTTGGATTGTCTACTATTGTAAATGGTATGCCATCATAGGGGTAATTTTCATTCTTGGGCTACCATAGGGTCTCAAAGGCAACGTACCCAATCTGGCGAATTTTAATGTGAAAAAAATGAAACACAAGCCTTATATTTGACGCTGTAACTTTTGAAAACACCATAAAACCTATACATGAGGGGTACTGTTGTACTCGGGAGACTTTGCTGAACACAAATATTTGTGTTTCAAAACAGTAAAAAGTATCACAGCAATAATATCGTCCATGTAAGTACTGTTTGTGCATGAAAAATTCAAAAAACGTCACTTTTACTGGCGATATCATCGTTGTAATACATTTTACTGTTTTGAAACACTAATATCTGTGTTCAGAGAAGTCTCCCGAGTAGAACAGTACCCCCCATGTACAGGTTTTATGGTGTCTTGGAAAGTTATAGGGTTAAATATAGTGCTAGCAAATTAAATTCCCTTTACTTTCGGCATGGGTTGTCAGGCAAATCCCGCTAATTGTAATTAATTAAGATACCTAATTATGTACAAATATTACATAAATATATATGTAGAATTAATATATATATATATATACATATATATATATATATATATACGTCTGTGTATATATATATATATATATATATATATAATTTAAAAAAAAATTTTTTATTTATATATAGGTATATGTATAGTGATATACATATATATTTATGTATATAGATATATATATTATTTTGTTTTACATGTATTTTGATATAAATATATATATTAATATCACAATACAGTTAGAACGAAATAACACACATCTATATATTTTTAATTATTTATTTTTAATTTAATTTTTTACGTATTTACATATTTTTGTTTATATTATATATACATATATATATATATATAAAACAATAATTATATATATATTTAATCAGTATCAGTCTATGTGTAATTTGATATTAATATATATATAATTATATATATATTAATAGTAAAATACACCTAGACAGTGTATGTGTGTGTATGTATATGTGTATATATATATACTTAGATCATAATATATATATATATATGATCTAAGTATATAATTATTTTTTTCTTACACTTATAAACTTTAATTTTATTTGAATTCAGCCATCAGGGGGACTAACTGTAATTACAGGCAGTCCCCCTGCTGGCAATGCAGCAGGCAGCTAACCCAGCCATGTGATTGTGAGGTCCTCGCAAGGACCTCAGTCTCATATGGCTGGGGGGGCTGCAGGAGGTCGGATGTGCCGCGGGGGCTCCCTGGGAATCCCCCCAACTGCGATCGCCGGCGTTTAGAGCCGCCTAAAATAGGGCGTAATAGTACGCCCTCCGGTCTGAAGGGGTTAATTCCACCGGATGATATGCCAACATTAATCCATGCATTTGTATACATATATATTTGTATATAGATTGCTGCAATGTACTTTAATTGGGCCTCCCAGAAAAACAATTCCATGACCTTCACACTGTACAAAATGCAGCAGCCAGACTACTAACCAATCAAACTTGCTCCAGCCACATAACATCTGTTCTCCACTCCCTGCATTGGCTTCTAATTAAATGGTGAACATATTTTAAAATTGGCCAGCTAACCTTCAAAGCATTAACATCAAGGCCCACAGTACCTGAAAGAGGTCCTGACACCCTACATTCCATCCTGTTCACTTCGGTCAGCCAGCAAATGCCTCCTGTCAGTGCCAAGAATAAAGACAGACTCAGGTTCTAGGGCATTCAGCCATGCTGCCCCTACCTTCTGGAACTCTTTACCGTGCACAATCAGAGAGGCACCGTCCTTACAGACTTTAAAAGTAAAAAAGCTAAAGAGCCACCCATCAGTCATTCAGTCCGCTCATCTGACCTTCAGAAACCCCTAACTTTTATGTCTTTATGTTTTTATATTTGTAAAGTGCTTTGAGTCTCACAGGTAGAAAAGCGCTATAAAAATGGCAAATTATTATTATTATTATTTGTTTCTTGAACTTTATTTGAACAACATGTGTTGAATGCCTTCTTGCTCTGTCCGCTAGAATTCCAATCCCCCCATTTCCACCCTCCTGGCTGAATTCCATCTCCTGTGTATACTATCTAACACACTTTTCCTTCTATGACCCACCTTCCCTACCCCATTTCTAGTTTAAAGCCTCCTACAACATTCTTGCTATGTTCCCCCCCAGCAGAAAAGACCCTATTCCATTCGGGTGCAATCCATCATGGCTATAAAGATTGTACCCAAGTGCAAAATCTGCTCAGTGTTCTAAAAATCTAAAGCCCTCCTTCCTACATCACAACTTCAGCGATGCATTGAAATCACTAATCTCCTACTGTCTTTCTACTATAGCATGCAGCACAGGTAATATTTCAGAGAATTCTACCTTGGAGGTTCTTTTTAAGTTTGCTTCTTAATTTCCTGAACTCATTCTTTAGGGTGCTCAATCTTCTTCTGTCTTTGTCGTTGGTAAAAAAAAAAGATTTTGTTCCAAAATAAATACTGCTTTCTGAAGAACCCATCGTGTGTTCCTGGATAAGTGTATATACTTTCAGTGGATACCTTAGGGAACTTGCCCCCCTTATCCAGAGCTCCCAGGTGGAAATAATCCCTTATAAAAGTGACTGCACTGTTCTCTTTT